CCTGAAGCTTTTAATTTTGAGGATGTACTAATGGAATGGGCAATGCGTCGAGCTGGGGTATTAACGAGTTCATTATTGGGTTCAATAGTCTCACAAGTCTTGTGTGAATCACCTACTCGTGTTTTAATGGACCCATCGCAATTGGAGTCTCTTCGACATTGTATTGTACCCATACGGAGCCCAAAGATGATATACTTTTATCAGCATCCATGGTAGAAGTTTCAAAAAAGCTAATGTTGGTGTTATGCCTCCGACAAGGGATTGATACTAGCGGTAAATCCCTAATTAATGGGAAATGGAAATCAAATGTTGCATTTGTATGAAATGGCATGGAATAAACTTCTGTGGTAAATCAGTGAAGGATCAATTTGGTGGTTAGGTTTTAAGTTCTTTTTTGGTGGACAATTTTGACAAGCATCATCTGGGCGGATGAATTGGTTGTAATAAGAAATAACACCATTTTAAGAGTTTGGGGTTAATTTAGTCAAGTCAAGGGTGTGTTTGGTGGCCCTTAATTTAAGGACGCATTTGTTGGAATAACAGTAGCTCATAAATGAATGGCCTGTTTGATTTGGTTATCTTTTCGCATTTCTAGTTTTACTTTAAATAAGCCCCCGTTTGGCCCCCATTTTCTGAAAATGAAAATGGGGGGAATAGTATTTTTTTTTGAAAAATGAGTGATTGAAAAAGAAGGAAATCTTTCGATTTACGTGTAATATTATTTTATGAAAAATTGTGTGGTTGACAATAAGAGAAAAAAAATGGAATGTAGTGTAATTAAATTTAATGGGGGCCAAACGGGGGCTAAAATAGTATTTATAGTTAAAAAAATATTGAATAATATATTCTAAATATTTATTAAAAGGTAGGTGTGTAGTAGAATTTTCACTTTATTTTTCCCTTTAATTTATTTGGGCCAGGCCCAACCAAAAGCTTTCCATGTACTCTTTTGGCGCGTTCTTTCCACTTCCAGCCCTTCAATATATTTAACCCAAATTTCAGTTTTCCATTCTCGCTCGCGAAAATCCGAGAATCCAATTGAAACTGAAGAAAAATGGAGAATGAAAAATCTGTTTCAGGGACCGATTCGGCTAGGCCATGGCAATCGTATCACACTGCTTACACTAACGCTAAAGCAGGTAATTGTGTCAATTTCATCTTTATTTTGATTGGTTAAGTGGTTAAGTAGTTTATGGTTCGTTTCTTTGATTTTGATTATTTTTTATTTCTTGGTTAAGTTTTGTGAATTTGTATTTTTACTAGGTATGGAGAAGGTGGATAAGGAGAAGGTACAGAGAGTAGTATATGAGATGAGCAAAGGGTCTAAATATTTCGAAAATGAGGAAAAGAAAGAGGCTTATATGAAGCAGAAAATCGAGAATATGCGTGTGCAATGTGCGAAGCTCGCTGTGGCAGATTTAAATCATTTTCAGAAGGTACATTTCAAGGGGAGAAAAATGCTTTAAAAATTAAAACGTGTCTGATTAGTGTAATGCATATCTTATTTGATACATCTCTAATTTCTTGGCTTAAGAATTATTAACTGAGAGAATCGGATTTGAAGGTAGTAATTTTTTTGGACATGTGGTTATTGTGTATTTGCGGTGGTCATAATTCTTTTTGACTTCGAAAAAGACAATTAAGCCGGGAAATGGTAAAAGGCCAGAAGCTAGACAGTAGAAAACTTCCACGTGTGAAATTTAGCGTAACGCATTTTGTGTAATTGTGAGAAAATTAGCTCTTTATGTAGAAGTTTGTGCTAGAACAAGCTAAGAATTATACGGTATAATGGCGGATCTAGTACCTGTCATCCTTGCTCTTAAGAGATTCACATGCAAATTCAGGAAAGCCGGCTCCCTGTTCTTTATCATCCACCCTGGTGTATCTGTGTCATATGCTGCATGCGGACGCAGAAGAATGAAATGGCCTGATATCCAAATTTCTTCATAACTGAATGAGCAGAACATATAAAAATTTCAAGAAATTAGACCAAGAAACATCCACGATATCCCTTCATTTCTTAGTCCTTTGGTTTTATTTTTTATTTTTGGTTTGTGTGTGTTGGTTTTGGATTTAGGCAGTTCTTAAAATCAGCCAGTGTGAAACAGCAATAGGTACAAAGATCCATAGAGTGATGAACATGATGGTAAAAGGAGTTAAATGTAAATGGCAATGGCAAGATTAATGGTGCCGCTTCAATTATCTGCAAACAAAGCTTTTTAATCCCGTATCCTACTAAGCATGTGGCAGATCTAATTTGATTTTATATAATCATTTAAAGATTGCTGATAAAAGGATTGTGGAGCTAGAAGGTACACGTGATCTATCAAGGATCTGGCTGCACGTGGATATGGATGCTTTTTATGCAGCAGTTGAAACACTGTGCAATCCTTCACTAAAAGGAAAGCCAATGGCTGTTGGTGGCATGTCTATGATCTCCACAGCTAATTATGAGGTTTGAATGACTAACCGAATTAAATGGCAATTGAATATTTTTGTCTTTTTTTTCCTTTCTTTTATGAGATAGCTTAGCTTGTGTAATCTGGACATATGTTGATGCACTGTTTCAAGTCCAAAAAATTATTGCTCTGTATTCTGTTGAGGCATGATTTGTCTCCTTTGCAGGCTAGAAAATTTGGGGTCCGAGCTGCGATGCCTGGATTCATAGCACTTAAATTATGTCCTGAATTGATTTTCGTCCCAACAGACTTCAAGAAGTACACTCATTATAGCGATTTAACAAGGAAAGGTTAGAGTTCTTTTTTATGCTTTCCTTGAGATATAGCAAATATGATTACTTTTGCCAAATTTTCTGATGCACTTCTTCGTAATCAGTGTTCAAGAAATACGATCCCAACTTTTTAGCTGCGAGTTTGGATGAAGCATACCTAGATATAACAAGTATCTGCAATGAAAGGAGCATGACTGCTGGAGATGTATGTCAAAGCATGAACTATGATCCCCAAATTTCATCTGATTCCTTGCATTGTCATTTTTCTTTATTTTAGTTCCATTGTATCTTTCCCTTGTCTTATTAGATGCGAATTCCATCCTTAATGCTTGGTAATTATGCTTCTTCAAGGTGGCTGAAGAGCTCAGAGAAAGTATTCACAAGGAGACTGGGCTCACATGCAGTGCTGGGGTTGCACCAAACCACATGCTTGCTAAGGTATTGTAGGCTGTTTTATTTAAGGGGACTGATTACCATATATTTCATGCATAATGCACAAAAGGATGGACTCAGTCATACAACATATTTGGACTCTGTAATTGATATCATGTAACCTCATGTCAAGGAACACAAATGATCAAATGCTAAACTAACTTTTACTTCGTACAAGAAAAAACCTAAAATTTTAATTGTATACTCTAACCATGTAATGAAGATGGCAATTCTATTCTGAGTTATCATGTTCAGCAGGTCTTTGAACAAACTAGTGATCTGCATAAGATAATTCGGGTAAAATAGTTTATCCATTACAGTTAATGATAGGATTGTTTTAGAGAGAATCAAATTAATATCTTGTCTCCATTAATTTTATGTCAAAGTAAGCAGAATACAATGATCAAATATTATGACCATTTTAATTTTTTGATATTTGGAGTAAGAGTAACTTTTTATTATCTATCCTGGCTTATTGTTTCAGCTAATATCTCAGTGCTTGGGCTTCATTTAGGTGTAAATTGGAGTAAAATGCATTATTTTGATAGTAAGGATGTCATTGACTGATATATTTGCTAGAACTCTCATAATTGAATAAATTTTGTGTGGTGGATCAATAACAATCAGCTTTTCGTCTGTTACCTTAATCTTAATTTTGTATAATTTAAATGATATGATTTCTGAATTTGCTCCTTTCGCCAGGTTTGTTCAGATATCAATAAACCTAACGGCCAATTTGTTTTACCAAATGATCGGATGGCTGTCATGACATTTATATCTTCACTTCCTATAAGGAAGGTACTTTTATGATGGTTGCTAATGTATGGTGGCATATTCCTTTCTTTCAACTATCTGTGGCATATATTTATTAGATGCTTGAACAAGCTAATATGTGCATATTTTCATGTCTTGTTATTAAGCCACATGGTAACAACCGTTTCAAAATAATCCGACTATTGACTAAAATTGTGAGCTTACTTTGTGGCAGTAGATCTGTAACTGGCTAATAAGGATTATATTATCCTGTTTGGCTAATGTGTATATATTGTAATGTCTTATTTTCAAGTGACATCGGCACAACCATTTCAAAATAAGTGAAGTATTTGTTATAAAATTTTGAGCTTACTTGTGGCAGGCTTCTGGATTTTCAAGTAAATTTCTTTAAATCCATCAAATCTACCCAAAAGTTAATTGAAATCCTTATGTGAAAGGAACAAGTAATGGCTGACTCAAGGGAGAAGGGGTCAGAAAGAGGGAGAGAACTTACCATTAGCTTGAAGCCTCAGCAGTGAATGAAATGACAAAAACCCAAATATCTAACATTGAAAGTGTCAGTTAATTAATCATGATGATTCAGCATTTTATCCAGCTTTATTAACTAGTGTGAATTCTGACGGTGAAGAGCTTCATTGCAGGTTGGTGGCATTGGTAAGGTCACTGAACATGTTCTAAAGGATGTCTATGAAATTACAACATGTGAGGGGATGTTGCAAAAGAGTAGCTTCCTCTGTGGACTGTTTTCCCCTACCACAGCAGGTAATTGCAGTGACATTGACAACTTACTTGTGCTATAACCTTGAACACAATTTGTTCTACATTGAGAAACTGTTATAGAATTGTTCAAAATCAGAATGTATCAATTATTCCAGATATCCTTCGATTACAGACTTCTGTGTGGATTCTAAATTTTAACTTCTTAAGCTGCTCTCTTGCTATGTGTTATTTAAAAAGTACATTAGGCTTGGTTGCAATTATCCAATTCTTGAGATCCTTTTATATAACATTTTAACTGTATATCATTTGTTCCAGACTTCCAGTGATATTGTACTGATTCACTAACCTGTTCATTGCAGATTTCTTCTTGTCTGTAGGTCTGGGACTTGGGAGGACAGATACACCCCAAGCAACATTGAGAAAAAGTATAAGTAATGAGAGAACGTTTTCAGCCACCAAAGATAAGGCATTACTTTATAAGAAATTAGGTAATTTGTCTTGGACTCGTGGATTCTTAGTTATTAAACATTGATGATACGAATAATTATCAGTTGATGACATTTTTTTCTGAATTTGTTGACTTCTTCCACCATTAGCAACGCAACCTGATATCCCCATCTCTTCACAGGTCGTATTAGACATAATTCCTTTTAAATTAAAAAGAAAATTTTTAAACTTTGCTCTTGTACCCTCTTTTTTGGGTAATTTTAAAGGAAATCCAATTGTAGGATAGTTAACTGGGATAAAAGAATCAAATTATTTTACAAGAATGTGTTAGCTTTGATTATGTTGCTCCTTCTGTATTTACTTGTGGCTTCTCTTACAAAGCAGCTCTCCTGTTACATTGAAAGATATGCTTTTAGTTGTTTGCTTTCTCAGTGTTGCTAGCCTTCAGTTGCTTTTATGTATTAATGTCCAATTTCAATTTCTTAATACACTATCTTAACTATGATTAGCACATTATCAGATTCCTTGTTTATTTACTTGAAAATTTATAACAGCAAATACAAATGGACAGAATCAACCTGAATTTGTTTACTTTAATGTTAAAAAAATTCACGGGATAATTCTAACTCATGGCTGTTGTGGGAAATTTTGAGATGGAGACGCTCATACAGACCTGAGTGATGGTCTTGTCTGAATACAATTGGAAGTCCTTTTTTTCATTGTAAAATTGATGAGTCGCACCTTCTAAAATTAATCCACACAACGTGTTGCAGTGGATCTTGCAGAAATGCTTTCCAATGACATGAAGAAAGAAGGTCTTTGTGGGAGAACATTGACCCTAAAATTGAAGACTTCATCATTTGAGGTATATACCTGTTTTTGGGTTCTGAAACTGGAATGGATTATTTTTATTACCTGTTTTCAAATATTTCTCCTTCTTGCATTCCAGGCCTTATTTTCTTTTCTTTCTTTCATTTTTCATTTCACTTTATTTGTTATGTACAGTGAGAGATTTGTTGCATTCTTAACGACAAATTTGAAATCTCCAGGTTCGGACTCGAGCTGTGACTTTGCCAACTTACACATGCTCAAGTGAGGATATACTAAAACATTCTTCAAAACTGCTTAAAGCTGAACTTCCTGCATCTGTGAGATTGATGGGTAAGACCACTAAGTATATTTGTTTACTGTGGAATTGTCAATCAAGTGGACAGTGTGATAGGAAGATAAAAAAAGATCTGGAAAAAATCTGTGTTAAATTTGGTGGAAAACTCTGCTCTGAAAATTAGCGTTGAGTTGTTTTCTTTCATCAGGATTGCGAATGTCTAATTTCAATGAAGGCCAAAATGGTGGCTCCCTTGACCCTAAACAAAAGACACTCTCTGAGTTCATGGTCACAGGAGATGCTTCTGGAAGAGAGCTGGGGGATCAAGCACCCTCCCACTTGAATGATAATGATGATTCTCTATCCGTTGATAGAGAGACTAGTTTTTCTATTGACACATGGGATTCCATTGGTTTACAGGGTACCCATGAAATACCGTATCTTCATCACAGTGACTCCATGCTATGTCTCAAAAAGGAAGAAATCAAAAGGAATCTTGATCTGCGGATTGATGATTTGGAAAACAATGTACGTATGGAGCTAGATTATATTGTTGTTTTCATTTTCTTTTAAGGATGTTCTTACATGCATTTATGTTACACAGGTTGACTACCACAATACAGTAGCGAATGCAATAAATCCATGTCCTAATGGAGCTTCTCAACTAGTGGAGAGAGATTCTTCTCCTGGGAAACTCGAGGAAAGCAACCAAGATAGAGGTAAAAATGCGATCAACTCTGGAGATGGTGAGGCGGGGTCTTCACTAAATCCGAACAGGCCATTGCTTTGGATGAATGATTACAAGTGCTCATTATGTGGGGCCGAACTTCCTCCGAGCTTCCTCGAGGAACGACAAGAACATTTCGATTTCCATCTTGCAGAAAGGTTGCAAGAGGAGGAATCAAGTGGTGTTAACCAAAATCCCAAGCTGGAACAGAGGTATCACATCCTTTTTTCCTTTGCCTATCATTTACTTTGTAGGCGACAACATTTTGACGTTAAAACCTTTTTCAGGCTTAAACACAAGAACCATATTATGAGCCAAATTGGGCAGAGGAAGAAGCACAAGACATCTGCTTCACAGGATAAATATATTCCAATTGACATGTTCTTTGCTAAAACAAGTCAAAATTTCTGATGTTTTGTAAATTGTAATAGAATAATATGTATTGTGTATATCACTTGTATAGGATAAGATTATAATTGTCCCATTTGTAACAATTCTAAGTTTTGCGTTGTATGGTAAACTGATTTATAAATGATTTATAGATATGCCAAACTGAAGTTTTTGGAATTTCAAAATGGATTCATGACAAGATTTCTCATCATCCAAATGAATTTTCTTTTGTTATTGCATTGATCTCAGGAAAAATTTTGAAGTTCAAAAAATGAATTTTCCATAATGACATTGGTGATTTAAATGTATGACAGAGTTATAATTTTAGAGGCTACAATTTATTTGCATACTAATTTTAAAATTAGAAAATTTCACCCACTAGAAAATTATGATCCTATGAAATTTGTTATATGCTGTAATATTTCGTGGTTTATATATTGTTATTTTTATTCATAGTGAGTACAGATTTATGTCAATGATTTGTAATAGAAAATATAAGGGAAAATATCACCAGAGGTCCCCCCAACTTAGCACAATTAGACACATAGGTCTGCTACTAATGTATTTAATATTTAAATCCCAAATCTTCCACTTGTGTTACACCTGGATCCCCAACTAGAGATTCGATCTAAAAAATGTAAAAGGTCACGTTCTTTGCATATAATCTATATACACACACACTATTGTTTTATGGGCTGCCGATAGGGAGAAGGAGATGGATGAGGAGAAAAAATAATCAAGAGTGAAGGAAGATGAGTTTCAACAGCACTGAGAAAAAGACTATAATATTATTATTTAATTCATTCTTCATACTATAAAGTAATCAAATTTATTGAAGAATTATCAAGTGATCTTAATTTTAACCAATGAGTACCCTCGTAGTGTCATATCTTATACTATATTCAATTTTTTTCTCTTTTTTTCCCAATTGATTGATGAGTTTAAAGTGAATGTTAGAATACTTTAAAGGTCGTCAAATTTTAGAAGCCTTGAATTGGATCTTTCATTTCTTATTTGTAATTTTAATCATTGTGTCAAATCATTGCTCCGAAAAAATCATCAAAGTAACGCCTAGGCTTAAAGCCTCGCCTCTAAGTTATACTTTACTTTTTTTGCGTGAGACTTCACCCAGGCTAACTTGAGTTCATAATGTAGGAATTAATTTAAATTATTAACCAAAAATTGGAAAATGAAAAGGTGTGTAAAACTGGAAAATGAAAATGTGTGATTACGTGTCAACTTCGACCAAATATTCGGACTTGATCGGATGGTCAAATTACAAAAGTAAATAGACCAACTTATTCTACTCGTCAAGTAGATCGTCGTGATATATTTAAAATCTCGAAATCAATTTCGGATGAATGAGAAATTTATGACCAAAATTGGAAGAAATGAAGTGTTGCAACTTTTCGAAAGGATGCAGGTTTTGGCCAAGTGTTACAACTTTTTTGAAATGATGCATGTTTTGGCCCACACTACTTTATTTGCACCCTTTCTACATCTATAAATAGAACCCTATGAACATGGTTTTGGGTATACCAATTGCATTGAGCATTCATTCTCCTTTTGCAATTCGCTCCTTTCTAATTCTATAGCATTTTCATACATTTCCTTTGTAGAGGGAAAATTCTGTCAAAAGTTCATCGGTTTCTTGTGGTTTGAAGTACTACTATCACAAGTTGTGAATCCATTGTATTTTGGGAGATAAGTGTCATTCACCGTGAGCACCGTAACGGAGCAATTTGTCTTAAAGAAAGATATAATGTCTCGCCTTAGATTATTCTCTATTTCTAATCTTTCTTAATCCTTGTTTTGCGTAATCGTCATACCGAAACTCTATCCAAATTTCCATTCATATGAATTGTGTTTTGATCACGCTCTTGCGGGTTAAAACTGGTCAAACAAATATATCAAAACTAACCCTTACATAACCCTTTTTATAAGTCGTCTCCAACAATCTTAAGACAAATTTTTATATTTTTTGGTTGGTTATTGACAAATATTACTTTGTTTGAATAGTGCTTTGTGTACTATTCCTCCACCGATATTATCATCATTTTGTTGAACTTCTGTTTGTGTAACAGAAATGACTACCATCGGGATTTCGTCAAATCAAAATGGTTCCAATAATGTGGTACCACCCGTGGCCACACCGTTGCTTAATACTACTATCCCACATGGGGAAAAATCAAAAAAATTTGCAGGAGTAGACTTCAAGAGGTGGCAACAAAAGATGTTTTATCTCACCACTCTTAATTTGGCTAAATTTCTAAAAGAAACTGCACCGGCTGTACAAGAAGGGGAAAATAATCGTGAATCGATTATTACTTTGGATGCATGGAAACACTCGGACTTCCTATGCAAGAACTATATCCTAAACGCATTGGATAATACACTATATGGGGTGTATAGTTCAAAGGAATCAGCCAAGAAACTATGAATTCTTTGGAGACAAAGTACAAGACCGAGGATGCCGAAACAAAGAAGTTCATTCTTAGCAAATTTTTGGACTACAAAATGGTGGATTCCAAAATCGTAATTAGCCAAGTGTAAGATTCATTCAAGTCTTGTTGCACGACATCCACGCCGAGAAAATGGAATTGAATGAATCATTCCAAGTGACTGCCATTATTGAGAAACTCCCTCCTATGTGGAGATATTTCAAAAATTACCTTAAGTACAAACGCAAGGAAATGAACTTGAAAGAATTGATTGTGCGCTTGAGGATTAAAAGGAACAATCGAAAAATCGAACGAAGGCCGATTGATCAGATGGTGCAAATTTTGTTGAAATGGAACCAAAGGCAACAAATAAGAAACGAAAGGCTCCTAATTATGCACCGCGAAGAGACAATTCCAAGAAGGCTAAGAAGTTCAAAGGGAATTGTTACAACTGTGGCAAGACTGGACATCGTTCAAGTGGATGTCGAAAGCCAAAGACGAATGCTCAAGCCCACATGGTTGCAAATAGCACTCTATCCGATGGATTGCAAGAAATGAGTTTATTTGTAGTAGTGTCCAAATACAACATGATTGGAAATACTAGAGAATGGTTGATTGATACCGACGCTACCCGCTATGTGTGTGCAGACAAGGGGATGTTCTCCAACTATTAAGAATTGAATGGGGAACAACTATACATGGAAAATTCTGCAAGTTCCAAAGTTGAAGAACAAGGCAAAGTCACTTTGAAGATGACATCCGGGAAAAAATTTGTTCTCAACAATGTCCTACATGTGCCGGATATACGAAAGAATTTAGTGTCTGGATCTCTACTTAGCAAGAATGGCTTTAAACTTGTATTTGTATCCAATAAATTTGTGTTGTCTAAAAATGAGATGTATGTAGGGAAAAGATACATGTGTGATGGAATGTTCAAGTTGAACGTTCTTACAATTGTACCGAAACAAGTCGTTATGAATAAAACTATAAATTCTGTTTATTTGCTTGAGCCTTAATGTTTGTAGTATAGTCGATTAGGACATGTGAATTACAAATCGTTGCACAAACTAATGAATCAAAATTTAATTCCGACGTATAAAATCAATCCTAATCATAAATATGAAATATGCGTTGAAGCAAAATTGGTTAAAACACTGTTTCATTCAATACAAAGGAACACAAACCCTCTTGAATTGATCCATAGCGATATATGCGATCTAAAATTTGTACAAACTCGATGTGGTAAAAAATACTTTGTGACATTTATTGATAATTGTACAAAGTTTTACTGTGTCCTTCTTTTGAGAAGTAAAGATGAGGCCTTAGATGCATTCAAAACCTATAAGGCTAAAGTTGAAACACAACTTGAAAAACGAATAAAGAATATTCGTAGTGATGGAGGATGTGAATATGGGGCACCGTTTGAATACTTTTGTTTTGAACATGGAATTGTTCATCAAACAACGGTACCTTACTCTCCTCAATCAAATAGTGTTGCAGAACGCAAAAATCAAACACTTAAAGAAATGATGAATGACATGTTAATAAGTTCGGGTTTACCACAGAACGTGTGGGGGGAGGCTATTTTAAAGGCAAATAGTTTTCTTAATAAAATATCTCTTAAGAAAATGGAAGAAACATCATATTAACTATGGAAAGGACATCCTCCATCCTACCAATACTTGCAAGTGTGGGGGTGTTTGGCTAAGGTTGAGGTATCTAAGCCTAAACAAGTGAAAATCGGTCCTAAAATGATAGATTGCATATTTATTGGATACGCCAATAATAGTAGTGCATATCGATTTCTTGTACACAAATTCAAATACAAGACGTACACGAAGGGACCATAATTGAATCAAGGAATACGACATTCTTTAAAAATATTTTTCCTTGCAAAGATAAGAAAAATACGAGTTCTAACAAGAGAACATATGAAACTACCAATGGAATTTCAAATGAGGAAGAACCAAGGCGTAGTAAAAGGGCTAGGACTTCCAAGAGGTTTGGCCCTGATTTTCTAACCTATATGGTAAAGGATGATCCAAAGACTTTCGATGAAGCAATGTCTACACCGGAAGCACCGCATTGGAAAGAAGCTATCAATAATGAGATAGATTCTATAATACAAAATCATACATGGGAATTGGTTAATTTACCTCCCGGTAACAAGCCTTTAGAATGCAAATGGATATTCAAAAAGAAATTGAAAACTGACGGATCCATTGATAAATATAAGGTTAGATTGGTTGCTAAAGGATATAGGCAAAAAGAAGGACTTGATTTCTTTGATACTTACTCACTCGTGACTAGAATCACGTCGATAATGTTGTTAATTGCAATTGCGGCAATACAAAATCTTGAGATTCATCAAATGGATGTAAAAACAGCATTCCTAAACGATGAGTTAGAAGAGGAGCTTTACATGGATCAACCTAAATGGTTCGTTTCTCCTAACAAAAAACACAAAGTATGTAAACTTGTTAAATCCTTGTATGGATCAAAACAGGCTCCTAAACAATGGCACCAAAAGTTTGACAAAACAATGTTGTCAAATGGATTCAAGATCAATGAATGTGATAAATGTGTATATATTAAACATACACCGTATGCCTATGTAATTGTATGTCTATATGTGGACGACATGTTAATAATGGGCAATAGTTTATGAAATATCACTTAACACCAAAAATATGCTAACAAAGCATTTCGATATGAAAGATATGGGCGTGGCAAATGTAATCCTA